ACACACACACACACACACACACACACACACACACACACACACACACACACACACCTGTTCCTACTAACTCCTCCTTCTCCTGCAGGTCCTGATAGAAAGGGACTGGGTCTCTTTTGGACACAAGTTCTCCCACAGGTGGGTCTATCAGACCAGATCAAACTGGTTTTCATGGTCCGACTGTGAGACCGGGTCACAGTCTGGATCTGTAGGTTCTGTTTGTTGGACTGGGGTCAACAGGAAGTTGTGCCTCTGCAGGTATGCTCACCTGGACGGAGACCCTAAAGAGGTGTCCCCGGTCATAGACCAGTTCCTGGAGTGTGTGTGGCAGCTGTCGGAGCAGTTCCCCTGCGCCTTCCAGTTCAACGAGCGCTTCCTCATCGCCGTGCACGTCCACGTGTACTCCTGCCAGTACGCCAACTTCCTGGGGAACAGTGAGAAGGAGCGCCGGGACATGAGGTGCTGATCCACCTGGACCTGCAGGTCTTCTGTCAGAGACCAGCTGAGTCACATGACAGAAGACCCAAGGTCTTGGTCCGACCCAGGTCTGTTTGTGTCCCTCTGCAGGCTCCGTCAGCGCAGTCATTCAGTCTGGCCTGACCTGTGGAAGGACCGGGCCCAGTACACCAACCCTCTGTTCCAGGCCGAGCAGAGCCAGAGTCAGGGGGTCCTGAGGCCCAACACCTCCCCCTACTGCTTCAAGTAAGGAAGTACAGCTCGTCTCACCTGTGTTCACTTCCTGTAGACTCGTGTCACCTGGGTTCACTTCCCGTAGACTCGTGTCACCTGGGTTCACTTCCCGTAGACTCGTGTCACCTGGGTTCACTTCCCGTAGACTCGTGTCACCTGGGTTCACTTCCCGTAGACTCGTCTCACCTGGGTTCACTTCCTGTAGACTCATGTCACCTGGGTTCACTTCCTGTAGACTCGTCTCACCTGGGTTCACTTCCTGTAGACTCGTCTCACCTGTGTTCACTTCCTGTAGACTCGTCTCACCTGTGTTCACTTCCTGTAGACTCGTCTCACCTGTGTTCACTTCCTGTAGACTCG